TCTGCAGGGTGTGAAGAAAGTGTAACCAGACCAGTTTCAGCCACTGAACAGGATTCAGTGTCAGCAGAAGTTCAGGACTGATGATGATAAGCCGTTTGCATTAGGCAGATTTCCAGTCTCAGCCTGTGGCAGCCTGTTCCAGGGCTGACATCTTGTTGAGAACGTCATCAAACCCAAGAGGCCACCGCCTTCCAGGAGAGCCCCAAATCTCCGTCACTCCGCTGAGTCTGTGCTGAAATGTGCTTATTGGGGCTAACCGTCTGTTTGGGCTGAGACCACCACGCAGGAGCACTGACCCGACTTGCCCTACCTGGGGTGTTTAGACATGAACACAGCTTGATCCAGCACTCGCCGTTTTCAGTGCTAGGCTCATTAATCATCCTCAGAAATCTAGGTTTAGGCCAAGAAAAAAATAAAACAAAAAAAATCTAATAGGAAGGATAGCAGAGCCGTGCAGCAGATTATCTGTGCAGAAGCTGCAGGCTCCAGCGTTATGGTTTTTTTGGTTGGATCTTGTTCTACTTTTCTTTTTGCCACTAAAAAAAAGTTCAAACATCAAAAGCTTCATTAAGGAAGTACATGATCAAGATGTTTCTGAATCCTGTCTTCAATTAATTACATAGTCTGAGTGCTGAAATCACCTCTCCAAGGTGTGTTTTCCAGTTCTGGCTCTACACATCAGGAGCCCTTGGCTGCCAACATTGTTTTTTTCCAAATTCCGACAAATAAAAGTGGTCTTTGGCTTTTATAAAGCACTTTTCATCCATGGCCCTCAAAGGTGTTTTACAACCAACCTGATCTGTGCTGCTGTTGTCACTGGTTGCAAGAATCTGTGGCACAAAAAAGCCACAAATACAAGCGTGAAACTGAATGTGAGTTGTCCACAGCAGTGTAAGAGGCTGCTGTCCCTCAGCTGAGCCACAGGACCAGACCCTGTGTATGTTCTTTGCTGTTCCCAACCAGAAGTTAAATTAGTGTAGCAATGTACATTAAATACAGGCACTTCCAACCAACGCTTGGAGAAGTGAGCTTAAATTTCCTAAAGGCTAGACAAATGTGCTAATTATTGGATCACTCTGTCTGAGAAATAAGGTTTCGTTTTTGTGGGATATCCTTCATATTTAGTCTGCTGCAGTTATTCACCTGGGTGGGGCAATATGGTAGCCTGTTTGGAGATCTGCAAGCCTTCTGCCCAATGCTGTCTGTTATATTGACTGGGCTGTGGGCGTGTACGATTTGAGTTTTACCTAAATCTCTTAGTCTTCGTTAAAAATCTCAGCCTGCCTGGTTGACTTCACTGTGAATCATCCAACACTGTGTCTGTCTAAGTCAGTGGGTATTTTGCAGCCTCTTCTAGAAGGACTTCGTGGCTCAGGTCTTCCTAAGCACAACGGTGATGCCAAGCGCTCAATTCCTAGGCAGAGCCACTGGCTAAAACTAGCACTGTGCTTGGAAAATAGGGCTACACTTGAACTTGCTCCCCCCCTTGCTATGTGGGTGTCTGCCCAAGCTCCCTGAGGTCAGGATGGTGCCACACTGAACGTGTCATCAGGGAACGAGTCCAGGTTTTAAGGACCTGTTACACCGAGATGTCTTCCCAGTAACGATCCTCCTTGCAGGCTCCATTCAGATGGATCTCAACAAGATGCCGAAACCTGCCAAGACCGCTGAGAAGTGCTCCTTAGAGCTAGTAGATGAGACCTTGTCTTCAGGTCGCTTCGTGTCACTCTTCGAGCAGAAAACCGTCAAGGGATGGTGGCCCTGTGTTGCTGAGCAGGACCAAAAGAAGATCCTGACGGTAAGGTGGCCTCTTCACATGTTCTCTCAGGGACTCGCTCAAAGCATTGAGGAGGGATGTGGCTGGGCCAAGCACATGCAGGATGCCATGGTTAGGGCAGGAAATGCAGTCTTGGGCTGCAAATTTTACAAACTGGACCAGCTTTTGACAGCTGGATGTTCTCCAGGATTTGTCCAGCGGCACACAACTGCCCCAGAACAAATAATTTGTTCTGTGGGATTTTCTGCTGTGGTTTTTGGAACATGCCACCTAATTTGACTCTGTGTCACATCTCTTCTTAATGATACTGTGTTGTGACAAGCGCCAGGGACAGGTTTCAGCTGTCAGACTGACGGATTGAAATGGAAGTGTCTGGGCTCCTGTTCAAGTCTTTGGCAGCTGTTCAGTACAGGTGAGGGAGTCCAGGCGGTGAATTAAGTCATTCAACAAAAGACCCCTGAGCTGGCTGCCTAAACGTGGGTGTCAGTGACATTTGGGATGTCCTGTGTGTCAGCTGAGCACACTGCAGCGGGCAGGTGAGGGATCTGTATGAAATCCACTCTTACCGGGCTCCTTTTTGGTAGCGATTGGATGATGCTCAAAGCACTTTTCCATTCTCCAATCAATATTTTGCATCATACATTCGTGTCTCACCTCTCCCTTATTTTTTAAGTTTGTTTTTTTTAACCTAAACAGGGCAAATTGGAAATGACTTTGGAAATTGTGGCAGAACAAGAGCATGAAGAGCGGCCAGCTGGCATGGGTCGGGACGAGCCAAACATGAACCCCAAGCTGGAGGACCCCAAGTAAGAGCACTTTGAATGGGAAAGTAACCACTGGGGCACAGAGGTCTCAAAGACCAAATTGAAAAACTGGGTTCCTTGTTTGGGGTCTGCTGTCTGCAATGGGCTTGCTCCTGTGCAGGCTCCGTTTCTGAGCTGCTGATGCTCAGAGTGTACGAGTGGAGACAATCCAGGGTGGCTGGAGAGCTGGTCTGGACCCCAAGGAGGGCACTGGACAAAGTCTACCCAGAGGGATGTGGGTTTTCAAGGTGAACCGCCAGCTCGTTACAGCAGGGCGTGCTCGTGGGGTTGGGGATCCAGGAGGGTGAAATTCAGAACCTCAACTTTGTTTGGCTCCAGGCGCCCGGAGACCTCCTTCCTGTGGTTCACCTCCCCGTACAAGACCCTGAAGTACATCCTGTGGCGGCGGTACAAGTGGGTGGTTATCCTGGCCATCGTGCTCTTCATTTTGCTGCTCTTCCTGGGGATCTTCATCTATGCCTTCCCGGTATGATGGGTGCAGGAGAGGATGTTGGGACTAACCAAGGCCCCAGGTGTTCCCCCAGGTCTCTGTGGCTGACCAACCTCTGTGCTGACAGAGATGGTCTCAGTGCACGTGGCTGCGAAGTCCCTGGGGAGCAACCTGGTGGACCATGGAGGGTCAAAAAAAAGAGTCTGTGCTTCTGGTCTCTGCTGCAGGCTCACTGCAAGGTGCTCCCCTTGGTGTTTCAGTTCGTGTCTAACGATGCTGAGGTTAATTTATTGTTTTCAAAGAGGTCGAAGCAGCTGATGCCAGAGGTGTTGCAGGGCTGCTGGGAAAATCCTTGATAAACACACAGTCTAATTAGCAATGCAGCCATTTTACAGGGCTCAGCAGAGGCAGAAACCACATCGGTCTGTAATTGTGTGAAGATACCGGGGAGTTTATGGCCTCATGGCTTGTTATCAAGGCTTGGAGCACCTTACACCAATGTGCTGTCTGAAATGAGGGGGAGTTTTCACCTCATTGATCAAGAAAGTGACTTTTTCTTGCCTTGTTGTCAGTTCCACTGGCAAAACAAAATAAATAAAGAGCCCTGGTCTTCCAGTTTGGCATAGGATGGGTTTTTGTATCCTCCTCTGTTTCTACAGCACTGGAATAATTCATGCCGGCCCTTGGCTGTCATTTCCCCTCCTCTCAGACTGATAAGAAAAATGACCCGCCTCTCTCTTTCCAGCACTTAACACATTCTGCTCCTTCTATATGATTTTTTTTTTTTTTTTTAAAATAAAAGATCTCCTTGGGGTAATTTATAACTGCATGTGAGAGAACGTGGCTGCCTTTTGCAGATGGCTTTGAGCGCTTGCAATGTGCAACCGAAAAGCGAGGTGTGGAATTTCTCCTCGCCGTCATAATCACTTTCAGATGATTTGAAGTCGTGCATGCTCGGTTGTTCCCGTCGAGAAAGAAGGGGACGGGATTAGGTCATGTCTCTCCCCATCTCTCCTTGTGTCCATGGGAAGGGCTGGGATACTTCTGCTGCAGAAGCAATTCCAGAGGTGCTAAGTAATATGAAGGAGGAAATAATTGTGCAAGCGCAGATTGGAGCTGCATTGCCTCCTCCCTGCCCTGTACTCCGAGCTGTTCCTGGAGACTCCCCTCTATGTCGAGTAGCAGAAACCAAGCCTTTCTGACCAAGAAGAACTCAGCGTTTCCCTGAAGGTGCAAGTGGCTTTGCATTCGTTCCAGTGGTATCGTATAAAAACAACACAGAGAGGAGAAAAAATGCGCAAACTATAAATATTGATTTACACTCATTCTTACTTGGGATTTTTCCCTGTTTCCTGGCTAAATGTTGTTGTATTTAATTTCGTTTTGGTCGGGTCAATTTTTAGTCATGTTTCGAAAAAGTAAGGCCATGTTTCATGGAATTCTTCTGTTTTTATGTATTTGGCCAGCTTCCTCTGGATTTTTGAGGTCACTGGTTCTGTATCTACTTGGAGATTTAGTTCCTTTCCCGTTTCATCAGGCACTAAATTTGGCAATCACGCTGGTGATGGTTTGCTTGTGAAGGATGCCCCTGGCATCCCGACCTTTGGCAGGGCTCACCATTACATCCTTGATTAAATGCGTGGAAGAACATTCCCTCCTCACTTCTGTTCTGATTCACGTGCCAGGAACACCATCAGGTCCTGTTTAAAAGAAGGACTGTGCTGCATTTAGTGCCGTGTACGCAATCTTGCCACTACATGTGCAGTTTCGAGGTCCTGCGATGCAGGTAGAGGATTTTTGGGTGTGTTCTGCTCCTCTCATCCTGGGAAAAAGGGGTGGCCCGTGGGTGATGGGAGGGAAACCTCAAGGAAATCCCATGAGGGCCTGTGGACCATCAGTCTGAGCAGGCAGAGGGTAAGGAACAGGGATATAGGGATGCTCAGGGGTGCATACAGAGGTGAAGTTACTATTTTTGTGCTTCTGTTGCCCTTTTTGCTATGGCTTTGCATGAAGAGCTCATCCACAGCTTTCTGCTTGTTGGTACCTCCACTGGGACCTCGAGGGTCCCTCCACCTCGGAGGGTTGCGTACCGTGCAGCAGATGCTGCAGAGAAGCCTGAGCCCTGGCTCCAACTCGTGTTTTGTTTGGACTCTGCCTGAGGACACCGAAGGAAGATATCTTTGACCTGAGAAATAAATATCCACAATGTGCCCTGGGAAACTAACGGTCCCGTGAGCTAAGCTAACCCTGCATTAGGTCATCTTCTATCCCAGACAGACAGGAATCTCACCTGAAAACGAACCCAGGGCATTTCCATTGGCTCTTGGTATGAAAATGGGATTTTTTTTTTTTTTTATTTTTTCCTATGGCCCATAGAGCGCTGAAAGCTTCAACCACAGTCGCGGCTTTGTGGTCAGAGTAGCTGGAGAGTAAGAGCGAACATCCCGTTCAAACGCTGTGTGCTTCCACCCAAAACAGCAAAGGGCTGTCTGTGGTTCCCAACAGCAGTGCCCAAAAAAGAGCGTTTCCCAAAACCTCGGGATTTGTAGTGAAAATGAAGAAGCCGATGTCTTGGTCTTGTTCAGAATGCCCATCAAGAGACGCTTTACACCCCAGGGAAATGTTTTGCCCACTGAGGCGAGAAACAAAATATTCTGCAAAATATTATATGCAAATGTTCTGCAAAATGTATATGCCTTTAGAGCTACTTCAGGGGATCAGAAACCTTTGAAGACCTGGTGCCTTTGTGCTTCCTCCATCCTCAGGACCCGAAGTATGCGTAGAATAAAGATCTTCCCATTCCTTCTCTCGGGTCCTCTTCTAAGTCTCCTTCCCAGGAGATCTTTGTGCAGCCAGCGGTCGTTTCCCAGCCAGGGAATGTGCCATGGCTTCCCGGTGGGATCTGGGGTCCCTGGGAGGAGCAGGGGGAAACCTGCAAAAGTGAAGAAGAGTCTGGAAGTGCTTTGGGATGAAGAGAAGGGCGCTGGGAATACTGCAGTATGGGAAATTTAGGCACAAGTCCATAAGAAATCAGTCATCGTTAGTGCATCTGTTTACAGAGCAATTTGTTTTCGTGGGTGAGAGGCCATTTCCAGCTGAGAAGCCTTTTGGTTTTGGGTGGAAAACTGCATGGTATTGCAAATTTCCACAAAAGAAGTTGTCTAGTTTTACAAAAAAAGGGAAAAAATGTTGAAAATCTGATATTCTGAGGTTCTTTTTTTTTTTTTTGGGCTCATCCCACCCAGTCTTAGTGTCAGATTACTCACTGGTTTGCCTTAGCTCTCTTTGCAGAGTGGTTGTCATTATGGTCTGTACAAGCTAGGGCTCTGGGAACGGCATTCCCTGGATGTATCCTATACGATTTCCGTAGACGGTCCTTAGATTTAACTTGACATCAGAAGACTCCTTAAACAACATGCAAAAGCATAATGAGAACCAGTAGCTGGATGTTGAAGTCAGAGGAACTATTCCAGTGGAAATAGGATGCTAATTTTTCAGACGAAGGGTAATTAACCTTTGGAGCAGTTTGCCAAAGGTTGTGGTAAATTCGTCGCTGCTCAAGGCGTCCACATATCGGGACTGAATGTCTCTCTACAAGATATGCTCTAGTTCCACCCCATGTGCCTGTCCAGCAGAGCTCATTCATGGCACGCTGTGGGGCTTTTTGGAAAGGCCCGGTGACTTTGATGGGTTTTTCATCCGACATTGCCACAGCGGAGAGGAGCTCTGCCTTCTGCTGTGGGAACGGTTGAGTGAAAACCCTTCCCTCTACTCAGCCGTAGTGAGGCTCCATCTGGAGTCCTGGGTCCAGTTCTGGGCTCCCCCGTTCAAGAAAGATGAGGAGCTACTGGAGAGAGTCCAGCGGAGGGCTACGAGGAGGGGGAGGGGACTGG